CCCCAAAACCCCAAAACCCCAAAACCCCAAAACCCCATGAGAATGGAAAAATAGAATATTAATATTAATTTAATTTAAAATTAAATCTGGTATTTTAAGGTTTGAGAAAAGGTGAAATGCATCATACATTTTAGGCAGATAGCGATACACCTACTGCAAATTTACAGTAGTCAATTTAGGAAAATTTCAGTTCAAATCTTAAAGTTAAATAAAATAAAAATTCATTGTTCCACGTAAATACCTTAAATAGGAACACATATAGGGGAAGATCATCAAAACTGATGAATGTTAATAGGTCAGAGTAAGAAGGCCATTTTTTAAGGGGAGATTTAACTCCTTAATAAAATGATTATCAGAATTAATCACGCATGAACGTATTTATAGACGTTTCAGGATTTTCAAATAATTTTCAAATAAGTCAGAACGTTGCCATCAAACGAAATGATGATAATGTGCTCAGACAAAAGCTAATTAGCTAGTTTAATATTAATTTGGGCCAATCTATCAACTCAAATAATCATCCATTAACAAGCAGGAAAGAATAATAAAAAGGTGCTAATACTGCAAGATCAACTAATCTTGACAATGATTATTCTATAATTAATAAGGAACAGTAGATGAGGAACATTCGGAATTTCAAAGGATTTTTAAAGGATACTTTCAAAGAACAAGTTATTAAAAAAAACGGATCTTAAAAATAACTGTTTAAAAAAGAATCTATGAAAATAAGATAAACGGAAGAAAATGTAGCTACTGAATAAGGTGAAATTAAGAAAATTAGGATGAAGCCAAAATCTAATACAAAGCTTAGAAGAAAGAGTAATTATAGCAAAATGATGTCACTCGAAAATCCTCTTGCAGCAACCAATGCAGAAAAACCTACAATAAGACGAAGAAATCAGCTCAAATTAATTCATGATCCATTGAATGATGACGAAGAAATAGATTTATTTGAGAGCGATAATATGTCTAATGAAGAAGAATAGATGAAAATATTCGGACAGGTAAAGAGTAGCCGTTTTCTTATTGCTCCTGAAAGTCAGATTAGATAAATTATTGACATAGGATCATTTTTCATAGTGATATTTATTTCTTTGTACATCCCTTTCACTTTCTCATTTGATGTAGTTATAAGTGATACTTTCAATTTCTTCGAGGTGTTCATTGATACTTGGTTCATTGCTGAGATATTAATGAATTTTTTCACTGGATATTATGAAAAAGGAGTTCTTGTCATGGATCATAAGAAAATCTTTTTTTAATACATCAGAGGCTGGTTTGTAATAGATTCAATGAGTAGCCTACCATTATCTTACATAGAGCTATTAACTGCTGCAGATAGTCATGAGGCATTTCAGTCAGCAAAAATTTTAAGAATCTTTAAATTAACGAAATATGCTAGATTGCTAAGACTCCTCAGATTTATTAAGGTCAGCAAATTTATCTAAACTTTTGAGGAAATTGTAGTAAATGATTATGCAAATCTATTTATTAGATTTTCTAAGATATCTATTATAGTATTCTTTATTGCTCATTGGATGGCATGTACACTATACTCAATTGCAACTACTGAAATGGAGATTTATGGTGTGAATTGGCTTAGTAATTAGGGATTAAATGATTCATCAGTGCTTGAAAAATACATTAATGCATTATATTGGTCATTTACAACAATGTGCACAGTAGGATATGGTGACTTTCATCCACTTACTACAAATGAAAGAATTCTATCAATGATGATAATGATTTTATCATCAGGCATATTCGCATTCATCATTGGGGATATTGGTAGGATAGTCAGTGGATTTAATGTACTTGCTGCATAATTTCGAGAAAGAATGTTATACGTTGACAGATTTTTAATTTAAAAGTAAATTCCTAACGGTTTAAGAGGTTAGGTCAAGAGATATCTTGAATATAATTGGGAGCTTAAAAAGCTGTATAAAATTGAAGAGCAAGAATTGTTAGGATTATTAAATGATAATCTAAGAGGAAAAATAATGGTATACCTGAATGGCAAAATTTTGTAAAGTATTGAGGTGTTATGCTAATTTCCCATAGAATTTTTGAGTAATCTCACTTTTATTTTCAACAAAGCAACTTATTCTTTAGACGAAAATATATTCATTGAAGGTGAGGAAGGACATGAACTCTTTTTTCTAGTTAGTGGTAGAGCAAATATAATTCATAGGAGAAGTAAGACTCTAATTTATGAATTGGAAAAAGATACTTACTTTGGAGAAATAAGTTTTTTTTGTTAGCTATAAAGATAAGTAACAATAAAAACAAAAGATTTCTGCGATATTTTTTCCTTAAAAAGAGATAGCTTCCTTCAAGTTGCTGCATAAGTGTCTATTGAATCTCTAGTTTTATTTAATAGATTGAAGGATAGTGTTACAGGTAATGAGAAGGATTTTAAAAAACTTTGTATTAAGTGCTATTTATGTCAAAAATTAGGACATATTTCAATTCATTGCCCTAAATTCTCTAAATTCTAAGGTAATTTAAGAATAAAGCATTTTTTGACTCGGAAAAAAAGTAAATAAGGGCAAAATATAGCAACTAATGGCAGTTTTCATGCAAGTGAGCTATAATACTAAGAAAATGATAATCCTAAGCTTGTAAGTTTAGCTTCAAGCTTATCAATGGAACACCATAATCAATCAGGCTACAAATCAGCAAGAAACAGTAAAAGAGTGATGCAAAAATATAATAATAATTCATTTGGAAATATTTTGTTCCCACTAAAGCAGTAGCAATAGAATTCGAATTATTTAACTGTTTTTAAGAAAGATGAAAATATTTTTGAAGAGTAAAAAAAAGAAGATTATGAAAGATTGGATGAAACAGATGATTAAGATTCTAATATTTTCAAGAAAGTAAGGACGATTTAAAGTAGATTCAGAAAGTAATCACTCTCTCCAATAAGTGTTAATGGATAAGGTGATTCAGCATCAATTTAAGAGGAGTAACTTGTGTAATTTGACACTCCTCCAAAATAGAGTACAACTCCAAAAGACAATTTCAAGGAACGCATTATTCAAATAGAACACCAATAGTCTAAGAAATTTGGGAAAAATACTATTATCTAGGAAGCTGTCTACGAGGATGAGGAGGACAAGGAAATAGAAGAAGAAGATACTGATGATAAAGTAGAGTATTCAAATGAGAGAGAAGAATCTAGTTCCACTATATCAACTTTCAGCTAAGAAGAGTAGGTAACTTTATTAAAGCAAAACCATAATCTAAGGATGGTAAAACCACCGAAATCCTAAAATTAACTAACGACTATAATAGGTCGTAAAAAGAGATTTAATAGTAAAAATTTTAGAGATAAAAAGAGTAAGAATGATATATAATACCTTAAAAGATCCATACAAATTATGCCATTTTAAGAAATTAAGAAAAATGTCTACACCAAGAAAATAACACCAAAGCAAATTGAAGAAGAATAGGCTAAACATAGCTCAAAGTAATTTAACATCCTAGATATTGGGAGAGTTAATGGAATCTCAATGATAACAAAATAAGTTAGCAAGAATGAGAAATATGGTGATTAAAAACTGTTGATATCTCAGAGTTCATTGAAAAGTGAAAATCATCTCTCTTAAGATAGTTTTTATTTAAGGCTGCTAGAAGATAAAGCTGACGAGGAATTGAAGTTTGAGTATCAGAATACATTCAAGCCAAGGATGCTCAACAACTAAATCTAAAAAAGTAATATGCTTGCCCCTCTTGATAAGGACAAAGACAATTCAGTAACTATTTACGGAACACAATATCTTAAAAATTCAACTTCAAATAATGCTGACGAGAGCGAGCAGTTTCATTTAAGATAATAAAACAATCCAATTGAAGATGAATGGTGTTTACCTTTGGAATTTCAAACATTGAATTCATCTGCGAAACCTAAATAGCAGGAAAAGTCACATGAGAAGCATTTTACTTTTTATGATGAATAACTGGGAAATTACTTACTAAAAATGGAAAATAAAAATTAGCTGCTCCAAGTTAAAGATATGGTAAACTAAAGTCATGCAGATATGAAAGCCCAATATGTCCTTGAAAAATAGAGAACTTTACAGAAGCCATACTAGAAATTACAGAATAAGCTAATAAAGAATTCAGAATGTGGAGTTACAGAATAACATCTTGGCTCAGACTTAATAAAACAATAGAATTTCAGACATTCAAATTTTAAATGACAAATTTATTGCCATTAGAATACTACACTAAATTCTTTATAATTAAATAACATTAAAATTAATTAATTTCTAAATTGCTTAAATAAATAACTTGACGGGGTTTTGGGGTTTTGGGG